CCAAGTTAGTCAGCCATTGGCACGCTTCTAATAACAGCCCCCCAAGGACATTTGTCTATATATGCACCCAAGGTTTTCATATGGTGTGATTTATCTATTGTGCCCTTTTTACACATTGCTGGACTCCACATGATAAATTTCTTTAAGAAAGAGAACAGTGTTCAAATATTCCTATGAATTCTATCTAAAGATTATTCTCTACTCGAATTGAATCCAAGGAGCCATTCACATAGTAATATCCTCTGCTTCTTGCTTCAAATATAAAGCTTTGTCCAGATCAGAACAGTATAGTGAGGTGTTAATTTACATATATACTATATAGCTTAACTTCTTGCTAAATGTATGTGTGGGGTGATTGCAGGTAGGCCTGTATATGGACATGTCTGTTGTAGATCTGTTTATAATAATTTCGCAATACTAGGATTTGTCCATGTGGGCTCATTTCTTGTGTAGAAAACTGCTTCCCCTGTTCCATGGCAGAAATGTTGGAATGCAAATTATCCACCTTCAGAATAGCAATATTATCAGGCTTTCTACGAAATTAATTGTTAGTTGCGTTGTTGTTTTATTCAAGCATTTTTATGTGCTTCAACAAAATTCTTTGGTACAGCTAATAGCACTGCTCAAACTGAGATTTAGTGGGTTTGACTGGTTTCTGAGGATTGATTTTAATGATATGTAAGCTCGAGGCTTGAACCCTTAAAGTACGATATGATTCTGTTTGATGTGATACGACTTGAGTAGTATACTGAGTAAAATAACCTGGGTGATAGAAATTGGTTGTTGGGACAACCATATTACTGAATGCATTCGACTCCACATGTCCCTGTCTAAAGTTGTTCAGTTCTCGCGGTATATCGCTTCTGTATATTTTAAGTTTGCCTATTAGTAGTCAATTTTCAGCTGGAGTAGCAGCCATATGTATCTATTCCGACACAAAATGGTAGGATCAGTTCATAATTTATTTCTTTTCAGTTTTTTACCTTATTCAGTTTACCTTCCTTTTTCTTTTTGACATGTTACTATTTTCTTGTGACCTGTATTAGAAACTACCATTCAAAATATTTGTGGCTGCTTTCAAGCTGCTTCAATTCCCTTATGGAATCATGATATTACTATACATTGGCTATCTTGGTTTTACAGTGACTTGCAAAGTACTCCCTCCGTCCGTAAACAAATATAAGAGCATTTAGATCACTATTTTATTGACCTAAACGCTCTTATATTTCTTTACAGAGGGAGTAACTCTTTATTCCATCTTTATTAGTCACTACCTTGGTTCGTCGGTAACATTTTTAGTATGTACGCACACGCCTAACCTTAATTGAAAAGAGTACTGTACCATATTGTTCATGTGGATCCGCTCTTGGTGTCTTACTCGGCCTCTCTTAGTTTAAGAGAGTACAACTAGCACGTATATATATGCCTATGTTTTAAGTCTCATTTCTCTACCACTGCATGACAGACAAATTATATATGTCTATGTTTTAAGTCTCATTTCTCTACCACTGCATGACAGACAAATCTAGCTGGAGGATCAACATCTCAGCTCTTAAGAAGAGAACAAGAGCTAGCATTTCCTTGTATGACCTACTTTGCAACGAACCAAATCTTGGTACAGCTTACCAAAAATTACAAAAAGATAAATAGCTTATAAATCCATGTGACGCGGCGTGCCGCCGCGCACTACGCGCTAGTTTCTAATCATGATGCAAACTGAATGGCCTAGATAGAAGGTGTAGCCATATGAGGGTACGAAAAATCCACACTCGTTAGAGAATGCATTCATGTGTTGTGCATAGAAAAGCAAATGCACAAAAGGGAACTTCAAGCAAAAGAAGCAAGGGGAAAATCAGATAATTTTATTAACTGCCACCTACTAGGCTATGGCCAACAATAGGAAACAGTGAGTAAAAACTACAAATGACCCTTTAATGGTTGAACTAAGTACAGGATGAAACTTTCTTCCCTCTTGACTAGTTTTGTGTACATAGCTAATTCCTGCCAAATGTGACTATTTATTTCATTATTTAATTGTATCAAATACAATGTTTTAAATAGCGGGTTATGAAAAATAGCGGTAGACCTCCAAATCAGAGCTATAGCGGAGCTACAGTGGGCTAAGGCGGGTTATTTGTGAAGGTGACTATTTAGCGGCACCCTGCTGAAAAGGCTATAGCGGGCTATACCGGAGCTATAGCCGGCTATTTAAAACAATGATCAAATATCCTGCGGATTCACTTGCATTTGTTATGAGCTTATTAAAAACTGCCCATTTGACAGTCTTCTAGTAGATTTTATTTCCAACAGAAAGTTACAACACTAGCAATGGTAATAGAACTATATGTGCTTTGATATCTATAGAACTATATGTGCGACTAGTTTCCACAAGAAAACTTTACCTCTTTATTTGTATAGTCGGTGCTTCCTTTTTCCAACTGCAAGGAAAAAGCTCAGCACTATTGAACCATTTATGCTCACTCGAGATCCTCCAGACTGGTGGCAAACCAAATCATATGCACCAGGCAACGCTGGCATGCATCCCATGAAACTACAAAACATTACCTCTTGTTGCCATCAGACTGAAGCCTTGTGATGTTAAAAGATTCCTTCACGCTTTGTGATGCTAAATACTCTTATCACACAAGTGCAGCCAGCTTGGAAAATGAATGCTTGATATGGAGTGCAGTGCAGTGCTACTCTGTTTAGCTCAAAAGTGTCTTTTGCCGAGCATCTGATTTCTATTGATTCAAGAAAAGATGCCTCGTAGTGGGAGGCCACAAAACAGTAAGCCTAATTACATGAGAAACAACTAAAAAAAACTTGTTTTACTTTGTATTGGTTGGGGTGCGCCTGGCCTGGGCAGTAGTGCGACGCCCAGGCGACACGTAAGGGCCCCACTAGCAAGCTAGTGTGATGGGCCCTCTCTATAAAGAATAAATTTAATATCATTGTGGACATATAGCCCACATATCGGATATTAAACTGATAAGAACAGATACTACACTTGATCTTAGCCAAAAGACCGAGAAAGGTATGCGTTGAGACGTTGCCCTGCACCTCCTCTTATAACTGTATCGGCTGCCCTGCTGCGTTCCGCGAGCGAGGTGGTACTAAACAAACAGGCAGGAAGTCATTAAGATGCCTGCCCTATGCTCTTCCCTGTTGTTTTGTTTCTACCAAAGCAGCCCCAGCTGGCTCGAAGGCCCAGTAGCTTGGCTTTACGGCCCCAATACGTTCTGAAAGAAAGTATGGTGAGATGGCAATCTGAAAGAAGCAACCTGAGACGTGATGGTCATAGAATAATTGGAGTTGAAATAAATGTTGGCAGCTGCAGTGTTGAGTGTGCCGTATCCACAAGGTTACAGAGTGCTGCCGTCCATTTGCTTGCCTTTTTATGAGGGGAAAACCTACTGCAAAAAATAAATAAATTACAAAGGACGAAAAAGCAGTACTCCTACATGATGTTTACAGGAAGTTAGAGATCCAGCTATGAAATGAAACCCAAGTATACTAATCTTTCTTCTGGCTCCATGGATGACCAAATTCATCATTTCTTACTTCAAGATTATATCATATACATCTATAACGATCAAGCAGCATTCCTTCGAAGATGAAGATAAGACCAGCATCATCTAAAGACAAGATCTGGCAAATATACTGGGCAAGTAAAGAATATATTATACCTGGATTCTATCACTTGTCTCACAAAAACTTTTGCTATTTTTCTCAACCAGAACTATATTATTAGCCACATGTACAGTGATTACTTTGCTCATCACTCTACACTGCGAAAAGAGCGTCAAAACAGCATCATCTAAAACATAACTATATAATACCCCAAAAGAAAGACAACTCTTTACACCAGCTATCTTGTTCAACTAAACTGGCCAGCAACCAGCCCGAATTCCGGCCTGTTGCAATCCACCATCCTGCCATGCATTGCAAGTCCTCGCACGCTATCCTGTCTACTTGAGTTCACAATCAATGTTCCGCCTTTCAAAAAAAACAATCAATGTTCCGGAATGACGCGCCAGTGAGTGAAGCCGGGGAACGGAAAACAACAGCAGACTTATGCACCAGGCAACACCGGCATGACAAAAGGGGCAAAGAACACCAGGTCACCGCATCCATGAGGCTACAAACTTGTCCTTTTTTTTGTTACCAGAGTCTCAATTCTTCTTTGACTAGACCTTTGACGCATTACATAGTCAGGGCACATCAGAGGGGGTATCCCTTATTTTTCCACAACGAGAAAGCTGCATGTCACACCATTAAGTGCAAAAGTGACTACTCCGTAGTCGATAAAGAACTCCAGAAGGGCGACCGAGGAGGGCCTCCTTGTTGATAGAAGCAACCATCTGAAGAATAAGCTTCATGATAGTTTTATAAGAAAAGTGGCATAATACCCAGCCCTCATTTTACAGACCTTCCCTCTTTCTCCGAAAAGAGGCATAACACCCGGCCCTCATTTGATATTGCACTTGCACATACCTTCCCTTAGCCTTGCTCTTGTGCAGATCATCTCCTTGGCCTCTTCCTTTCTCGCAGGACGGTTCCTATAGACAAGCTGCTCTGTGTACATGCAAAATCTTACGCTAGTAGACTCATTAGTACAACTTGCAGAATCTTACGGAATCATGTAATAGAGCACCAGTTTCCTTGAGCTATAAATGGCCATTCTTGCCCTCAGAATGTTCCTTGACCAGACCACTAATGCTGTGCCAAGTCAGGGCACAACATAAGCATCTGGTTTCCTTTTGTTTCAGGAAAACATGTGAGTTACGTGCCGTATCATTAAGATTAGGAAACAAAGGTCCATGTAGAATTTAGTTATAACCACAAACTTGGGTGGCGGAGTCAATCAATTCAGTCATTGCAAGGCGACCTACTTGCTACAAGTAACAAGTACAGAACAAGGAGGAGCACGCTCTATAATACTGTAGAAGCAACCAGCTAAAGAATAAGCATCTGGTGTCCATATGCCAGTCTCATAAGAAATGAAAACCATGCAGCCACTCCAGCTTTCACGCATGAGATACGACAGAAAACTACCGATAAGTTCCCTTGGCATTGCTCTTGTGATGCTCATGTCCTTGGCCTCTATCACTAGCTCCTGCACAGAGCAAGAGAAGGCCTCCCTCCTCAAGTTCCTCACTGGGCTCTCACAGGATGGTGGCCTTGCCGCGTCATGGCAGAACGGCACAGATTGCATCACGTGGGAAGGGATCACCTGCAACATGGATGGGACGGTTACTGATGTCTTGCTCGCTTCCAAGGGTCTTCAGGGGTATATCTCACCCACTCTTGGCAGCCTCGCCGGATTGTTGCGACTCAATCTGTCAAACAACATGCTGTCCAGTGGACTACCACAAGAATTGGTGTCTTCCAACAGCATCGTCGCCATCGACATCAGCTTCAACCGCCTAGATGGAGAACTGCATGGGGTGCCATCTTCAACCCCAGTGCGTCCCTTGAAGGTACTGAACATCTCCAGCAATTTGTTTGCAGGACAGTTTCCATCCTCCACATGGGGGGGCATGAAACACCTGGTCGCACTCAACGCCAGCAACAACAGCTTTACTGGGCAGCTACCAACTCATTTCTGCACCAGCTTTCCATCCTTGGTTGTGCTTGACCTCTCTTACAACCGATTCAGAGGGAGTATTCCACCTGAATTAGGTAGCTGCTCCATGCTCAGAGTGCTCAAGGTTGGCCACAACAACCTCAGCGGGACTCTCCCAGATGAACTCGTTAATGCTACCTCGTTGGAGTTCCTCTCTTTTCCCAGGAATGGTTTACAAGGAATACTTCAAGACACATATATTGCCAAACTCACTTTTTTGGTTACCCTTGATCTTGGAGAGAACAACTTCAGAGGCAACATTCCGGAATCTATAGGCCATCTCAAGAGATTGGAGGAACTCTATTTTTGAACAGTAATATCATGTATGGGGATCTGCCATCAACTCTAGCAAACTGCACAAATCTCACAACCATCAACCTCAACTGCAACAATTTCAGCGGACAACTCACCAAGGTCAATTTTTCTAGCCTACCCAATCTAATGTCTTTAGATCTTATGCGGAACAACTTCGATGGCACAATTCCAGAAACTATATACTCTTGCAGAAATCTAATTGCACTGCGATTATCTTCCAATAAGTTCCACGGCCAGTTAGCAAAAGGGCTCGGCAATCTGAAGTCCCTGTCGTTCCTGTCACTTTATAATAATAATCTTACAAACATAACAGATGCACTTCAGATTCTTGGAAGCTCCAAGAACCTCAGCACCCTTCTTATTGGGCGTAACTTCAGGCATGAGAACATGCCAGAGGATGACACCATTGGCAGTTTTGAAAATATTCGGTTTCTTGGTATAAGTGATTGCCCATTATCTGGAAAAATACCTTTCTGGATATCAAAGCTAGCAAATTTAGAGATACTAATATTGTCTAACAATCAACTCACAGGATCGATACCAGCCTGGATCAAAGCTCTAAGCTATGTCTTCTACCTTGACATATCAAACAACAGCCTCACGGGGGAAATTCCAACAACATTGACCAATATGCCAATGCTAGAGTCAGCAAAGACAGATGCCAATTCGAACCAAAGGGTCTTCATACTGCCTGTTTATCCAACTCTATCACATCAATATCGCCAACCTTTCGCTTTCCCTAAATTGCTGGATCTAAGCAATAATAAGTTCACTGGTGAGATCCCTTCGACGATCGGTCAATTGAAATCCCTCCATTCACTCAATTTGAGCTTCAACAACTTAACAGGTCAGATCCCAGAATCAACATGCAACCTCACAAGCCTGCAGGTCCTAGACTTGTCGAACAACAATCTCACTGGTGCAATCCCAGCTGCATTGGACAGCCTGCACTTCCTTGCAGCGTTTAACGTTTCTGACAATGATCTAGAAGGTCCTATTCCATCTGGAGGCCAGTTTAACACATTTGGGACATCTAGCTTTGACGGGAATACAAACCTCTGTGGATCTATACTCATTCATAGATGTGGTTCAGCAGAAGCACCTCCTGTCACTGTTCTGTCAACAAAACAAACTGATTACAAGGTGGCCTTTGTGATTGCCTTCAGTGCGTTCTTTGGTGTAGGGGTGCTGTATGATCAGATAGTCCTATCTAGGTATTTTGGCTAGTACTACTCCAGTTTACGTACTGTATATGTTTAGGTCAATTTCGTTCAGGTTAGGTTGCTATTCAGGTTTAGCAACATGTCCAGCAAATAAGCTTGTCATCTATGTGCAAGTCATAATTACGGCACAAAACATTATCGGATTAAGAGTGATTCCATTTCAAGGAGATGTACAAGTATATGTAATAATGTGGGGCAGTTTAAACTGAATCAGCACTAATACAATGGATACTCTGATCTTTTCAGGGCTCTCTATAACTCATATTGGAAGATGTACAAGTATATGTAATCAGAATATAAAAATCACTGTAAGTTTAAGTTCACCATTTCCTTTGCTTGCTGAACAACAACAATGGAGCCATGCTATAAAGTTTTAGGTTCACGGGTAAGTAATGAACAAAATAAAATGTATGGTAAGTACCAGTGCACCACTAACCATAAGTTGTCACAACATATGAAGCAGCACATGCCAAAATCCATCACAAAATCTTCTCAGAGTTTGTTAAAACGAGAGACTGCAGCTGCTACAACAATGGAGCACATTGTTGTGAGGAGTGCATCCCAATCTTTTGAGTACTCACAAAAATAACGTGTAACTGCACACCCCATTCTTTTCACAGCAAGTTAATTGCATGACATACCTTGGGAGCGCACGTCAACAACTCAATAGCCGTGCTTCCCTAGCATCATTCCACCGGTGCACGCAGTGCACTCCGAACTCTGAGGAGCCTCTGCGCCAGGGCTAGTCCTCTTTTTCTTCTCTTGGGCCGGTCTACTTGACTACAACTGGGAAGAAATATTCTCAAATTAATGATAAGTGGGATCAATAGCAGGGAAAACACATTATGTATTTTTTATTTGCATGGCAATGACTGCCGTTTTCTGAAAGCCCTATTAGTAAGAATAATTATCACAAAACCATAACTTTTGGGTTGGCATATCAAGTTACCACACTTCAAAAAAATCACAGAATCACAACTTTTGGCACAAGATCGTTTGACAGCGCTCAAATGTCTAGGACAGTTCCCAAAAGAAAAATTGACCACTCTACACTGATCAATGACAGAAACAACTAGGAAAAAAGTCCACATGAAAACATAGGTAAGGGCAAATCACAGGATCCAAGCTGGCATGAAATTGCAGTTTTTATTTTTTCCTGTTCCTGCAAGTCTAGAATCCCACGAATGAAAGAGCTCCTTAATTGTGTTCATTGGCCCTATAGAGGTTCTGTTGATGCAGTACATAACTGTTGGCTACGAGTTGTGGCTTGGCTTGTACTTCCAGGAATCGTTTCCCATTTGCTATAGAAGATTAGTATTTCGTAGAAATAATAAAGTGCACATGGCATGGATAGCTTAATTATGGATTAAAATAAAAAGTGAGACTGATTCTTATTAAATTACATCTATAGAAAGAAAGAAATC